ACCGAAGATCCTCACCTTAACCAATTAACCAACTGAATTGATTTTTCCACAGGCACTATCTCACCAAAAAATATGAATCAACTTGTTGCCGCTCCTTTTTTTGGTGAAAACAATATCTATCTCTCAAATATATTATTGAACAATATATATATCTAAAATCTTGGACTTGTTTTATCAAACCCTAATTGTTACCAAACTGAATTGGGTCTCCACAAATTTGATATAATATATAAAATATATTATACCTAAACCAAACCAAATTAAAATTCTTTTAACAAACCAATTGGGTCTCAAACTCCAATAAGGAGATTTACCCCAATAATTCTCCCCCTATCGACTTAGGTGGAGACATCAACCATACCCGCCAAAGTTCGACACTTCAAATGTTTGTCCCTTGATAAAGTCTTAGTCAACATATCTGAAATATTATCATCCGTGTGAATCTTTTCGAGTTGCAACAATTTCAAATATAACACATCACGAATCCAATGGTATCTCACATCAATGTGTTTCGATCTTGAATGAAAAGTAAAATTTTTACTCAAATGAATAGCATTTTGACTATCACAATAAAGCACATACTTTTCTTGTTTCAAATCCAACTCTTGCAAAAATTTCTTCAACCATAACTCTTCTTTGCAAGCTTCCGTAATGGCAATAAATTCAGTTTCGGTAGTTGAGTGAGCGACACATTTTTGTAATTTGGATTGCCATGCCACAGCTCCCCCTGCAAATGTCATCAAATACCTCGAAGTAGATTTCCTAGAATTCAGAATCCGTGAACCCATCAAGCATCGGCTTACCATCCCCAAAACACAAACACACCTTCGAAGTCCCTCGAAGACACCTTAGAATCCATTTTACCGCTGCCCAATGTTCTTTACTCGGATTAGAGAGAAAACGACTCACCACACTAACGGCGTGAGCAATATTCGGCCTTGTACAAACCATGGTGTACATCAAAGAACCAACTGCTAAAGCATAAGGAATTTTCAACATCTCTTCTTTGTCTCTGTCACTTGTAGGACATTGATTCGAACTAAGCTTGAAGTGACCTACAAGTGGACAACCAACCGGCTTTACTTTATTCATGTTAAACCTCTCAAGAACTTTCTCAATGTAGCTTTCTTGAGACAACCAAATCAGCCCCTCTTTGCGATCACGAACAATTTTCATACCAAGTATTTGCTTTGCTGGTCCCAAATCTTTCATAGCAAAAGACTTGCTCAACTCCAATTTCAACCTATTAATTATGGTAGAATCTTGACCCAAAATTAACATGTAATCAATATAAAGCAAAAGAATAATAAATTTATCATTCGAAATTTTTTTCACAAACACACAATGGTCCGAAGTGGTTTTAGAAAAACCATTATTCATCATGAAAGAGTCAAATTTTTTGTACCATTGCCCCGGGGCTTGCTTGAGGCCATACAAACTTTTCTTCAATTTATAAACAAATTTCTTTTTCCCTTTTTCTACAAAACCTTCTAGTTGCTCCATGTAAATTTCTTCTTCAAGATCACTGTGAAGAAATGCGGTCTTCACATCAAGTTACTCAACTTCAAGCCATGCCATGTACAACCCGAGTAGAAGACATCTTCATAACTAGCGACAAAATCTCATCAAAGTCAATATCTTTCTTTTGCCCAAAGCCTTTCACAACAAGACGTGCTTTATACCTCAGATTCTTGCCATCATTCTTCAATTTGAAAACCCACTTATTTTTCAGAATTTTCCTCCCTTTAGGCAACTTCACTAAATCATAAGTCTGCTTTTCAAGCAAGGAATTCATCTCCTCGTCCATAGCTTTTTTTCCAATCACCTTTCTTTGTATGCTCAATTGCTTCTTAGTAGCTCTCGGGCTCTCCTTGATCAAATATCAATACAAATTCATTGGGAGGATACTTTCTTGAAGGTTGTCGATCTCTTGTAGATTTTCTCAACTCAAGTTGTGGTGGCAGTTCTTGAGTTGGATGCTCTTCCTTAATTTCTGGCTCAACTTTATTAAGATTAGCATCATTCTCCACATCTTCAATAGGTGGCTGCACATCTCCCCTATTTTCATTATCCACCGAAGATGAAGGAGATCGATCCATGTCAATGAGATCACTACTTTTTGGCTCCGGTTGATCACCTTTGCCAAAATCTTCAATTGTTTGGTCTTCAAGAAACACAACATCACGGCTTCGAATGACTTTCTTGTCGACCGGATCCCACAATCTATAACCAAATTCATCATGTCCATAGCCAAAAAAAAATACATTGTCTTGACTTACTATCAAGCTTGGACCTCTCATCCTTTGGAATATGAACAAAAGCTCGGCAACCAAACACTCTCAAGTGCTCATAAGACACATCTTTGCCGGCCCAAACTCTTTCTGGAAATCACCATTCACAGGATAGGAAGGAGACAAATCGATCACGTCAACCGCTGTCCTCATTGCCTCACCCCAAAATGATCTTGGCAATTTAGCTTATGAAAGCAAACACCTTGTTCTTTCCACAATGGTGCGGTTTATCCTCTCGGCAACGCCATTTTGTTGAGGAGTCTTCTTAACTGTCTTTTAGTGCCGAATACCTTGGCTGGGACAATACTCATCAAATGGCCCAATGTATTCCCCACCATTGTCTGATCGGATGCACTTCAATTTCTACCCTGTTTCTCTTTCAACCATGGCCTGAAAATACTTAAATACTTTTAGAACTTGATCTTTAGTTTTTAGTAGAAAAACTCAAACTTTCCTTGAATAATCATCAATGAAAGTAACAAAATAAAGTGCACCACTATGTGTTCCACTATGTGTTCTAACTTTTAAAGGACCACAAACATCCGAATGAATCAACTCCAAAACATTTTCTTTTCTAGAAGCAAAATTTTTATAAAAAGAAACTTTATGTTGTGTACCCGCCAAACAATGAACACAAATTTTAAGATGTGTACCTTTCAAATCAGGTAGAAGCTCTTTCTTGAATAAAACTTGTAGCCCCTTTTCACTCATATGGCCAAGCCGCTTGTGCCACAATTCGGTAGAAGTATCATCTTCAAGTGCATTGACAACACCTTTACAAATTTTTCCTTGCATCGAATAAAGTGTATGAGTCTTCTTGCACTTAGCCACCACCAAAGAACCCTTTGTGAGCTTCCATATTCCATCACCAAATTTGTTGTTGAAGCCTTCATCATCTAGCTTCCCAGTAGAGATCAAATTGAGGCGAATGTCGGGAACATGCCTCACATCTTTAAGCAACAACTTGCAGCCTAAATTTGTTTCCAAGCAAACATCACCCATGCCAATAATCTTGGACAAACCTTCATTACCCATTCGAACAGAATCATAATCTCCTTTGATGTAGGTAGTGAAGAAATCAACTCAAGATGTCACATAAAAAGAAGCACCAGAATCAATCACCCAATTGCTCTCTTGGCCAACAAAATTGATACAATCATCTTCACAAACGACCATGAGATCACCATTGGTAGTAACCGCTGTTGTGTCTTCTTGATTCTTATCTACACTTTTGTCATGCCTTTTCTCTTTGTTCTTGAGCTTTCGACATTCTCGTTTCATGTGCCCTTTCGCATAGCAATAATAGCACTCAATGTCTTTCTTTGAAAAAGAACCATCTTTTGATTTGTCACGACTTTAATCACGACCATGAGGAGTCTTACTCCTCTCCCTTGTTTTGCTTCGGCCTCTCACAACAAATGCTTCCGAATGAGAGGAACCCGTTGATTTTCTTCTAGTTTCTTCATTCAACAAGCTATTAGTGACTTGGTCCATACTCCATCGGGCGCTGAATTACTGACGGTCACAACCAAAGTCTCCCAACTTTCGGGCAAAGAACTAAGTAGCATCAAAGCCTGCAACTCATCATCAAAAACAATTTTCATAGAAGCAAGTTGGTTAACAATACTCTTTATTTCATTCAGATGTTCCGGAATAGGGCTGCCCTCTTTATATTTTAAATTAACCAACTTACGAAACATAAAAGTTTTATTTGTAGCTAATTTCCTATCATAAAGGCCTTCTAATTTTTTTCATAAATCATGTACCGAAGTTTCAGTAGCAACATGATGAAACACACTGTCATCAATCCATTGACGGATAACACCAACAGCTTTTCAACTAAGCCTATTCCATTCATTATCTTTCATACCCTTGGGTTTGCCACTATCACCCTCAATGGGTCCATACAAATCTTTGCAAAATAATAGGTCCTTCATTTTAGTTTTCCAAGGTACCCAATTGCTTCCATTGAAGCTAGACATACGACCTATATTCCCCTTCATTGATTTACACAAATAAATAAACTTAAATAAACTGTAAGCTCTGATATTAGTTATTAGAAAAAATATATGATTCCCTACAAGTAAATCAATCAATGGGAATAAAAACTAATGCGGAAAAATTAAATCAAAAGCAACACAAGAATTTTTATGTGGTTCCCTCAATGTAAGGTGCGTCCACGGGATCGAAATCTGATTTCCCTATCAACCAAATAGTTTCCAAACGATTACAAATAAGACACGAATGGTCTCACAAAACCACCCTTAGGTGGATTCCAAATAATCACAAATAAATAAGCGGACAGACCTCACCAAATAGATGAGCAAAAGTCTTCGAAACAGAATTGTAAAAGACCCAAAAATAATTAACCCAAATCAGCCGAAACAGAGCAATTAGCTGAAGATCCTCACCGTAACCAATTAACCAACTGAATTGATTTTTCCACAGGCATTATCTCACCGAAAAATGTGAATCAACTTGCTGCCGCTCCTTTTTTGGTGAAAACAATATCTATCTCTCAAATATATTATTGAACAATATATATATCTAAAATCTTGGACTTGTTTTATCAAACCCTAGTTGTTACCAAATTGAATTGGGTCTCCACAAATTAGATATAATATATAAAATATATTATACCTAAACCAAACTAAATTAAAATTCTTTTAATAAACCAATTGGGTCTCAAACTCCAATAAGGAGATATACCCCAACAGAAACTTCACTTTGAAAAACAGAAATCAAGCACTCAATCTCTTCACTTTTTATGTCATTCCAACATGAAGCACTATTTGTAGCTTCTCCCACCGCTGCTTTATGCAGAGCAGATTGGTCCACAATCCCCATTACTTGATCTGGCAACAAGTGTTTGACAAAATTGTGAAGGTTAAAATTATCTTTGAATGGTTCATTAGTGGGTCTTTTACTAGTGAACATTTCCAACAAGAGAATTCCAAAGCTATACAAATCTCCTTCAACCGAGACATTACCGCCCATTCCATATTCTGCACAATCCCAAGAACTTCAATTATTGCTCTTATTGTAATGTCACGTTTTCATATATACAAGAAATGGTATGATATTTGAAAGGCATTCTGCTAAATTGCACTGTAATTGTGTAGGCAATTTAAATTCCCAATATCCATGTTCCTAGTTTCCTATTTCTGATTCATGGAGGATGCTGTTTTGCTATTATTATCAAGAAAAGGCACCTCACCAACAAAAGTAGTAAAAATCGAAACATAGTAAAACACAGTAATCTAAAAGTTACCTGGAGCAGCATATCCAATGGTTCCTTTAATCCCAAATGAGCTAAACTGATTCAAATTGGCCTCATTGTTGAACTTTGAAAGGACCCTTGCCAAACCAAAATCACTCACACGGGTAGTCATATCATTGTCGAGAAGAACATTGCTCGGCTTCAGATCACAGTGAACCACATGTGTTTGGCACTAATGATGAAGATAATGCAACGCTGAGGCAATATCTATTGCAATACTAATCCTTTGGGGAACATTTAGGCTTCTTCGTCGGTGATGTTCACCTTTTAGATGCAGCCACTCCTCCAAGCTCCCATTTGGCATAAACTGATACAGTAAAGCTTTAAAATCGTTTATGTCAAAATCAATACTGGAACAAACAGTTAGGATCTTGACAAGGTTTTGATGCCTGATATTTCTCAAGGCTTGGCATTCGTTGATAAAGCTTTTGGAAGCTCCTCGCTATTGAAGGTTGAGTACCTTAACTGCAACTGTCGTATCTGCATCACCTGAGCCAAGAGTTCCTTTATAGACGGTCTCAAAATTACCGGAACCTATTAAATTCTGTGAAGCAAATCCACTAGTCGCTTTGAGGATCTCTTCATAAGAAACCTTTTGGTAGAAATTCCCAAGAGAAGATGTGGGAAAATGTTTATTCGTGACCTTTATCTAGTAAAGTGCAAGTGAAAAACAGAACAGAAATGAGCATAAAGCAATGCTGACAATCACCAAAATCAACTTGAGAGCAAAATGCCTATTGTGTTTCTTGGTTTCTGGAACAGGGAAGGACTTCAAATGCAGCTCTTGTATCCCCCCGCAAAGGTTCATGTTGCCGAGGACTTGAATGGAGGTTGCATTTCCAAATACCCCATCAACAGGTACCTTGCCCTCAAGGTTGTTATACGAAAGATTCAAATACAATAAGAAGGAAAAGTTGGCCAAAAATTGTGGAATTTAGCCTGACAAGTTGTTGTGTGAAAGATCCAACTATTGAATATTCTTCAGGCCAGGTAAATATGGAATGGGACCTTGAAAGAAGTTGCCTTGCATATAAAGTTTTTGCATGACCTAACAATTTCCCAGGTTGTCGGGAATCTCACCAGATAAATCATTGTTTGAAACATCAAGTACCGCGAGTTGGGTCGAGTTTCCAACTTCTGCTGGCAAGGAGCCATTCAAGGAGTTATAAGACAAGTTAACGAGTACTGAAATGGATGGAAGACTTAGGAGTTGGTTTGGTATGATGCCAATGAATTTGTTTTGAGAAATGTCCATGGATATGAGTTTCACACAATTGCCCAAACTCGAAGGTATGGTTCTTTCTAAAATGTTATTAAATAAATAAAGATCTAGAATTGTAGTAAGGTTTCCAACATGAGGGAGGAGATTCCCGGAAAATTGATTTTTGGATAAGTCTAAATAAATCAAGTTTGAAAGCTTTCCAATGGAATATGGGATGTGATCTGTTAGAAAATTGTTAGTCATGATCAATGTATCCAAGTTGATGAGCTTTGCAATCTCTGTTGGAATTGAACCACTGATCATGTTTCCTCCAAAATCTAGCCATGTCAATTGGGTTGACAGATTGGTTATCGAGTAGGACAACATACCTCCAAACTGGTTGAGGCCGCTATCAATCATTTGTAACATGCTGCAATTGGTTATAGAAGCTATGAAACCCTTGTAATGATCATATCCACCTCTTCCAAGCAAATTATCACGAACATTGAACCACCATAAGTTTTGTAGGCTTCCTAGGTTCATTGGTACACCCCCGGTGAAATTATTATAGGGAAGGTCAAGCTCTTGAAGATATGAAGCATTGGACAATGAAACTGGAATAGAGCCAATGAAGTAATTGAAACCCAAATAAAGAGTAAGAAGATTTGGAAATGCCTAAGTCAGGCCTGAGGTTGCCAATAAAATTGTTGTAAGACAAGGCTATGTGTTGCAGCAATGACAGATTGTAAAGTGAGGGAGGAAACACCCCAGAAAGACTATTTACTAACCATCCAATCAGTCTCAAATGTCTCAGTTGGCTTATTGAATCAGGAACTTCACCCTCTAAATTGTTAAACGATAGATATAGCTCTTGGAGAAATGTGAGATTCCCAATAGAAGCTGGGGTATTTCCTGTGAGATTGTTGCTTTTAAGATAAAGTTTCTCAAGGTATAACAATGACCCCAGTTTAGGAGGAACCTGCCCCACAAGATAGTTGTGGTCTAAAACAAGATTCACAAGTTTGAAACAATGAGAGAGACTAACCAGAATTTCCCCTCCCAAAAAGTTATGACTCAAGTTCAAATTTTGAAGCCTGAGTAACTGACCAAGTTCTTGTGGGATGTCACCATAGAGTGAGTTCTCCGCAAGGTCAAGGTGTTCAAGGAAAGAGAGATTACCAATGACTGGTGATATGTTTCCTGCCAACGTCTGCCTTTTGAGATCTAAGCCTATGACTCTCTGGTGCTTACGGCCACATGTGACTCCAGTCCGCAGACAGAAATAGATGAAGCCATTCCATGAGGCCAAGATTCCTCGAAGATCTTAGTCATTTGGGACTTAAACTCGAGCAATGCGAATTTATCAGTCTCGTTGCTATGTACAGCAGCTGATGCATATTCTGAATTAATTGAAAAGTGGAGGAACAGGACAAACACTGCATGAAAGGTTAGTAAGAAGATTAGGAACATACTCGGAAGGGGAAGAAGCTCCATTAGAGAGATAATTCTGAGGTGCATGCATCTCTGAGATTTTACCAGGTTGGTTCTTGAAGTCTACAGCTAAAAGATACAATAAAAATTTAAATCGATTATACATTACTACGAGATACGCATAAAATCATATTTAAAATTGATTATGCAGTTCTTGAATTTATGTTAGAGATCAAAATGACATGAAAAATATAATTTGCAAGGATGGGAGGGAAAGATTAGGCTTAAACTCATGAAAGGATGTGATATTTGGAGACAAATAAAGGAGGTGTTATAGAAGAGAGTTGAGGTACGTTTTGGTTCTAAATTGTTTGCGTATATATAGACAACAAATTTAACTGCTACTTATATGGGTAAACAATCTAATTACTAAAATACCAGGCACCTTATAATTTAGTTATAGGTAGTAATATATAAGTGTGATCATTCATTAAAATATTTTCATGATAATAGATCAATGTGATGACGATGTCTTCATCCCTTTCATTGTTAATATTATTATTATTTTTTTACATTCTTCAAAATAAAAACAAGACTTCTGGACCTTGATTGTTAATTCAGTGGCGCCTCCACAAATTTTTCCTAGTGGGGAAAAAAATTGAAGTACTACAAATCCTACAAAAATAATTGTGGAAATTATATATATATATCCCTAATAACAAATCAAACATTCATGTTTTAATTTTTGTTAATTTAGTTTTTTATTCGATCCCAATCTTAGCCATCCGTTTAATTGTTGTAGGATCACAAAGCATTTGGCCTAGTGGTTTTATAGCACTCTTTGTGATGTGAGATTTCAAGTTAATTTTTATAGAGACGAGTTTGAAACCTTTTGCAGTGGTGGTTTATTTCTCTTCCATTATGAGGTTGATTGTATGTAGTTGTTGGATTTGAGCTTGATGGATTAGTTGTCGGGCTTGGTGAATTTTGGTTACTCTTTGTTAGACTTTCTAATTATTGCAGGCTAGTGGTCTATTCGATTATGTAAATATTTATCATGATTGTAATTATTCTCCTTGACAAAATAAAAAAAAAATGTTGTAAGGATCCATTTATCTCCTTTAAATCGAAGGATTTTTTTGACATTAACCTATATCATTTACAAAATATTTGTAACTAATATATATTTGAACCCTACTATTTCAAAAATCAAATCCATAATTAAACCTAATCTAATTCATCATCTAACAATAGTAGGAATTCGAGTGAAATTGAAACAATCCTTGGATTTCGCATACCAAAAATAGCATCCATCATTTCTAAAGTGAAGAATTCTTAATAAAGCAATGAGAAGTATTCAAGCACAATTCTAGTCAACTACATTCAGAATCAATGGTCCTAAAAAAAACACAAGAAATGTGTTAGGATTACGGGACACCAGAAATCAATTCCACACAATAACACAAGAATATTTACGTGGTGTGGCAATTGCCTACGTCCACAGGAGAGGTATCCACTATAGAATTATCCCGAAGGAAGATTACATAACTCACACCTCAACTCTCTATAGAACTCTCTCACTCACAAATTATACTCTCCTCTGTGTATTCTTTGCTCAGTGTGTCACTCCCATATATCTCTATTCAACCCCTCCTCACTCATCTCAATTTATAACCAAGAGAAGAGGAGAAGGTGAAGTGACAGCCATGAGTGGGCTTGGTTGTGCCACCCTCACCACCTTCCTTTGGTGAGTTGGTATTGCCCCACCAGCTTCCTTTACCACATGGTGCCACCCATACCATGTGGATGGTGGGCTCCTTACCATATGGGTAGTGGATGGAGCTAACAATTCTCCCCCTCTACGCCCACATGGACAACTAACTTCTCACTTGAAGTCCATCCCGGTCAGATGCTTGCAAACTTCTAGTTTGTCTCTGGTGACACCCTTGGTCATCGTGTCAGAAGGATTCTTGTCTGTGTGGATCTTCACTAGCTTCATCAGTTGCCTTTCCATCACTTCTCATATCCAATGATACCGGACATCAATGTATTTTGTATGTGAATGGTACATGGAATTCTTGCTCAAATCAATTGCACTTTGGCTATCACAATGTACCTTATACGCTTTTTGCTGTAGGCCCAATTCTTGGAGAAACTGTTTTAACTACAATATTTCCTTTCCAGCATCTGCGGCAGCAATGTACTCTGCCTCTGTTGTAGATAAAACAACACACTTTTGTAGTTTGGATTGCCATGAAATAGCCCCCTCTGCAAAGGTGAACAGAAATCCTGATGTAGACTTTCTACCATCAAGATCACCTGCCATATCGGCATCTGTAAAACCCTCCAAAATTGGCTCAGCTCCCCCGAAACATAAACATATCTTTGAAGTTCCCTTCAAGTACCAAAGAATCCATTTGACCGCCTCCCAATGCTCCTTTCCTGGATTGGCGAGGAATCTGCTCACAACGCCAACTGAGTGAGCTATATCTGGCCGGGTACACACTATTGCATACATCAAACTTCCTACTACGGAAGAATAAGGAATTGTTTCCATTTCTTTCCTTGCAGAGCTGGTCATGGGACACGAACGCTTTGGCACATTGAAATGGTTGCCCAGTGGTGTGCTGACTGGCTTGGAATCTTTCATGTTGAACCTTTCAATTACCCGTTCAACATATTTCTCCTGTGACAGCCATATCTTCTTGGCTTTCCTGTCATGAACAATCTTCATGCCCAAAATTTGTTGTGCTGGGCCTAAATTCTTCATGTCAAAATACTGCGACAAGTCCTTTTTCAACTTGTTGAGCATAGTAGTATCTTGTCCGATGATCAGCATATCATCGACATACAACAGTAGGATAATGAAGTTTCCATCCGAAAACCTTCGGAAATATACACATTGGTCTGCCACCGTTCTTGTGTACTCGTGATCCACCATAAATGAATCAAATTTCTTGTACCATTGTCTCGGCGCCTGTTTCAGGCTTCCTTGCAGAGCTGGTCATGGGACACGAACGCTTTGACACATTGAAATGGTTGCCCAGTGGTGTGCTGACTGGCTTAGAATCTTTCATGTTGAACCTTTCAATTACCTGTTCAACATATTTCTCCTGTAACAGCCATATCTTCTTGGCTTTCCTGTCACGAACAATCTTCATGCCCAAAATTTGTTGTGCTGGGCCTAAATTCTTTATGTCAAAATACTGCGACAAGTCATTTTTCAACTTGTTGAGCATAGTAGTATCCTGTCCGATGATCAGCATATCATTGACATACAACAGTAGGATAATGAAGTTTCCATCCGAAAACCTTCGGAAATATACACATTGGTCTGCCACCGTTCTTGTGTACTCGTGATCCACCATAAATGAATCAAACTTCTTGTACCATTGTCTCGGCGCCTGTTTCAGGCTGTAGAGACTCTTCTTCAGTTTGCAGACTAGTTTATGTTTTCCTTTCACTTCAAATCCTTCTGGTTGCTCTATGTAGATCTTTTCCTCCAAATCACCATGGAGAAAAGCAGTCTTGACATCCATTTGTTCTATTTCCAAATTCAAGCGAGCTGCTAATTCTAGAGCTACTCGAATAAAAGTCATCTTCATAACTGGGGAGAAGATCTCATCAAAATCAATTCCTTTCTTCTACCCAAAACCTTTGACCACCAAACGGGCTTTATGCTGCAATAGTTTACCGTTTCCATCTTTCTTTAACTTATACACCCATTTGTTCTTCAAGGCTCTCCTATCTCTTGGAAGTGGAACAAGCTCATAAGTGTGGTTCTTCTGCAAAGAACTCATCTCCTCCTTCATGGCTTGCATCCAACAGTCTTTCTCTGTATGACTCTTGGCTTCCGAAAAACTCTCGGGCTCCCCCTCATCAGTAATCAGAATATACTGAGAAGCGGGATATTTGGTTGATGGCACGGTAGCTCTTCCAGATCTCCGTAACTGAGGCCCAGTTGCCTCTATTTGAAGGGGTTGCTCCCCCTGCTTAACACCATCTTCATCCGGGTCTTCATCTCTTTCCTCATGATCCTCAATTTCTGGCATAGGATCCTGCAACTCTAGCACTTCTTGTTGCACATCATCAAATCTAGCATTTTGTGATGGCTCGAGAGATGGAAACAAGTTTGGAGTGATGACATCTCTAGACTTTGCATATTTCTCAAAATTTGCTACTGTCTAGTCTTCTTGGAACACAACATCTCTGCTTCTGAACATCTTCTTGTTCACTGGGTCCCACACCTTGTACCCAAATGCTGCATCTGAATAGCCCACAAATATGCATGGAGTGGATTTGTCATCAAGCTTCTGTCTGTTTTCCTTGGAGATGTGTGCAAAAGCCTTACACTAGAAGACTCTCAAGTGAGAATATGATACCTTTCTTCTGGACCAGACTTCCTCAGGTATCGCAAAATTCAACGGGACTGAAGGCGACCTATTGATGAGATAACAGGCTGTACGGGCGGCTTCAGTCTAGAATGACTTTGGTAACTTTGCCAATTTTAGCATACATCTGACTCTTTCCATAATAGTGCGGTTCATCCTTTCTGCCACACCATTGTGTTGTGGGGTGCCGGGAACTATTGTCTTATGCCGGATACCTCTGCTGGCACAGTATGCTGCAAAAGCATTGGAAGTGTACTCCCCTCCATTGTCTGTGCGAAGACACTTCAACTTCTTCCCAGTCTCTCTTTCTACCATTGCATAGAACTCCTGAAAGTGCTAAAATACCTCATCCTTTGTCTTCAGGAAATACACCCACAACTTCTTTGATGCATTATCAATGAAAGTCAGAAAATACTTGCGGCCGCCATGTGACTCCACTTCAATTGGGCCACAAACATCCGAGTATACCATATTGAGCACTTCTATTTTCCTCTTGATCGTTGAACTGAAGGATACTCGATGTTGCTTACCATAAAGGCAATGGTCACAGGGCTTCAAGACGCTCCTTTTGGATAAGGGTATCCTGGATTGCTTTGGCAATAGATACAATCCCTTCTTACTCATGTGAGCCAGTCTTCTGTGCCATAAGTCCGGTGACTCCTTGTCTTCTGCTGCATTAAGACTTTCTAGACAGATCTTCGTTTGAGTCTTATAGAGTGTTGAAGACATCTCTCCTCTAGCGATTGTCAAAGCTCCTCCTGTCAGCTTCCAACGG